GCCAGGGAGCTGAGCAGAGACAGCTCACTAATCAGTACTCGCCAGTGACGCCCGCATGGATTCTTAGCCGCACAACCGCCTGCATTCTTAGCTGGACAACCGCTTGCATGCCTGCCTCCCTTCCTGTCAGAAGCCCCACTGGACCCCAGGTAAAAAAAATCCACCCAGCACTCCCAAAGGTAGGGAGTGTGGGTGGATTTAAACAAACAAACAAACAAAAAAAGTAATCGGTTAATGTTTGGGGAGGGGAGGGGAGGTGGGCTGTCAGTGTGTGTATGTCTGAGTGATTGTGTGTGTCTGGCTGTCAGTGTGTGTATGTCTGAGTGATAGTGTGTGTCTTGCTGTCAGTGTGTGTATGTCTGAGTGATTGTGTGTGTCTGGCTGACAGTGTATGTATGTCTGTCAGTGTGTGTATGGTGATTGCGTATGTATGTCTGTCAGTGTGTATCTGAGTGATTGTGTGTGTCTGGCTGTCAGTGTGTGTATGTCAGTGTGTATGTCTGGCTGTCAGTGTGTGTATGTGAGTGTGTGTGTGTATGTCTGTCAGTGTGTCTGTCACTGTGTGGTTGTCTGTCAGTGAGTGACTGTGTGTGTGTGTCTGCAGGGACGTGTCTTCCGCGAGGCAAACAAGGCATCTGCCTTGGGTGGCACTTTGCAGGGGGCGGCAAAAAAAGCTACCCCCCAAACGCCAGGCAGATCCCTTGCTTGCCTTGCATCCTGGGGGCTCAAGAGCTGGCCGGCTGGGGACTATAGTGTCCCTTTAATTAAATGGGGCACACAATCTAAAGAAACAAATGAATACTCTAACATTAAAAATAAGAAGATTTATTTTTAACCTGAGTTAAAAATAAATTGATTAAATTACATCTCTAGGAAAATAATTCTGTATATTAATTTTAAGATATCTCAGTGCCATTTGTAAGGGATAGTCGTGCTTCAAAAATGCACCATGCAGTCTGCTCTGGTCTGCCATAGTCATTACTACTTCCAATAATGAAAGACACATGTAGTTAATAAAGGGACCATAACAATGTCCTCAGAACAGATATTGTGTGACAGATATCGTGTGAGAGAAAGTTAGTCTCTTGTATATGAATGGCGGGAGTGTGTGCTGATGCTGCAAATACTGTATCTGTGTTCATTTAAAGTACTATCAAATTGTAATGTTTCATTTACTCAAAGGGTTTACCAATGATAAGCAGCAGTGCAAAGAAGAAGAAATAGGGGCTGCCAGGGATTTTAAGCAAGCTGTTTAAATTAACATGTGTATAATTCATAAATAACAGAAATTAAAAAACTGAGAAAAGAAGGAATTCCTAGAAAAAAAGTATATAAAATATAACTTGTTTTAAAAATTCTAGGAAACTATAATGAGAAATCCAATCACAGCAAAGTAATGACGTTTTCTGCAATCTCAGTTTCCTAACAGGCTGGCTGGTCAGGCTATTGAAAAATCATGCACATTCTCCATTAGATGTGCCAAGAACACAAAGTCTACATTGTAACAAGCCACGGAATTTACTGTCAACAGTGTTAGCTGGCTCAGTATGTAACACAAATCTAATCAATAGGTGTTTGGAAAAAAGGGGAAAATAAAAAAATAAAAAACACAGCTATAAGAAATGTTCAGAGGTTAAAGATTAAAACTCAGTATCCAAATATGATAAACCTGACTGGCGAAACGTGTGTGTCAGGGGCTCTGCTATTGCCCTGTTTTTTTTTTTTTTACTAAATGTTGCTGAACAGGGCATGACTTGAGTTGTTAATGATCCTCACTGGTACAGCTATCATTGCTGTTTTTTTTTATTCAAACTTTTTATTTCCTCAGTTCTCATATCTCTCTATATAGTTCAGGGACCTTTAGACACAGCAGTAAATTGCAGTTAGGGCACACTAGATTTAACAATACTTTCTACTACATTCCTAACTTTTTTTCTTTTTTTTTCAGGCTTCCTTTACTAGCATGATGGGAATTTTGGGATATTGAGTTTTAATCTTTAACCTCTACATTGTTACTTGCTGTGTTTTTGTCACATCATGCCATGTTCCTCAGAGAAGTCTGGTGATGGCTTCTGGTATCCAGTACTCTTTTTACAATTCTTGTTTAGTTTTCCTTGGTTTTTCTGGTTTTCTATTCTATGTCTGGTTTTCTTTATGCTGGGTTTTTCTGGGTTCATTCCTGTATTCCGTCCAGGGAAGTCACAGTCTCCAGGGTTCCTTTTAATGTTTGTTTTATGTTGCCACACCCGTTTGTTTTCCCATCATTCCTTTTGTTTCAGTGTTCCTGCAGGCAGCTGCTCAAGTCTTCTGCCCTTTCTTGCAGGTAAGTATTATGTGTGTTTTTTCTTTGGTTGGTTTAGCTTGCATTAGGCAGAGTAGGACCTGCCAGATATAGGGTACATTGGCGTTGTTGGCAGGCTTTTGCAAAGTATGATCATATAATGTAACTAAATCCCCATGATTTTCATATATAGTACTTAGTTATTTCTCCTCTTGTTTTGCCATTCATGTCTTGTTTTAGTTTGTATTCCCAGTCCATGTACAGTCCTGTCCAGTCCTGCCCATGTTATGTCAATGTTTCCCTTATGTATTGTGTACATGTTCTGGGTTTAGCTTCTCTGGTTCTGGGTTCTACTAGTTTTGTCTTGTTTTCATGTTTGGTGACTATCCTAGTCTTGCCTTGTTTCTGTACTGGATACATTCCTGCTGCAGAGCCTCCCTATCTAGTCCCTGGGAGGTCTGCATATCATCTACCTCCTAGCTCTTGGGATCCGCATTAGCTGTATCAGGGACCTGGTATGTGGCCGCACAAATGCTGGTGCTCAACACTAGGGGGCGTGTGGTTACCCTGCACCAGGCCCTGATAATCCACTTCCACGCTGGAGACTCCCAACTTTTCATCAGGCACTCAGCGGTCCCGGTTTCTGTACCGGCACCCGTGACAGTTTTTGTCCTCCCCATCCCTCTCTGTTTTCAAACACCCATTGATTAGATCCTTGTTGCATACAGAGCCAGCTAACACTGTTTACTATATATTCAGTGGTTTGTTACAATGTAGACTTTGTGTTCTTGGCACATCTATTGAAAAATGTGCATGATGGTTCAATAGTCTGACCTGCCTGTCCCGTTAGAGAACTGAGATTGCAGAAAATGTTATCACTTTGTAGTGACTGTAATTTTTTTACATTTTGGTTAATCGTAGTCATATTTAAACTAGTTATAATTTATATACTTTGTATCTAGTAATTAATATATAATCCATTTTTTTTTGGTTGTTGTATCATTTATTGTGGTCAACCATTCTTTTCCTAGAATCAATTTAGACCAGCTCCTATTTTTTGGTATTTATTGTGATTCATAAATAATGATTTAAAAAAAACAACTGTTGCAATAGAAGGATGAGTGTAACCTACTCTGAAGTGTCCCATTCTCATTTAATACAAAAAACAACAATCAATTACATGCAAAATATGGCGTTATTAAAGAACTTTTACCTTCTTAAATAAATAAAATAGCATTGCCTTATAAGTGGATTTAGCCCTCTATTCACACTGACAAACAATCTAAACTTAATCTGAGTGAGTGACTTAAGTGATCTGAGGAAGCCTAGAGTGGCGAAACGTGTCATCACGCTGAACATAACATTGAGGACGTAGTCAGAATCCGCCCACCAGCATGAGCATTGCAGCCAGGGAGTTCGGAAGTGCCGGCAACTGAGGATACCGGGCACTGTGAAATAAGACTCTTATGGGACTGGTGAGATTGGAGATTACACAGACAAGTCTCTGTTTTTATGGAATAAAGTTTACATATACCTTGATCTCAGCAATCTACAGGGAGTGCAGAATTATTAGGCAAGTTGTATTTTTGAGGATTAATTTTATTATTGAACAACAACCATGTTCTCAATGAACCCAAAAACTCATTAATATCAAAGCTGAATATTTTTGGAAGTAGTTTTTAGTTTGTTTTTAGTTATAGCTATGTTAGGGGGATATCTGTGTGTGCAGGTGACTATTACTGTGCATAATTATTAGGCAACTTAACAAAAAACAAATATATACCCATTTCAATTATTTATTATTACCAGTGAAACCAGTATAACATCTCAACATTCACAAATATACATTTCTGACATTCAAAAACAAAACAAAAACAAATCAGTGACCAATATAGCCACCTTTCTTTGCAAGGACACTCAAAAGCCTGCCATCCATGGATTCTGTCAGTGTTTTTGATCTGTTCACCATCAACATTGCGTGCAGCAGCAACCACAGCCTCCCAGACACTGTTCAGAGAGGTGTACTGTTTTCCCTCCTTGTAAATCTCACATTTGGTGATGGACCACAGGTTCTCAATAGGGTTCAGATCAGGTAAACAAGGAGGCCATGTCATTAGATTTTCTTCTTTTATACCCTTTCTTGCCAGCCACGCTGTGGAGTACTTGGACGCGTGTGATGGAGCATTGTCCTGCATGAAAATCATGTTTTCTTGAAGGATGCAGACTTCTTCCTGTACCACTGCTTGAAGAAGGTGTCTTCCAGGAACTGGCAGTAGGACTGGGAGTTGAGCTTGACTCCATCCTCAACCCGAAAAGGCCCACAAGCTCATCTTTGATGATACCAGCCCAAACCAGTACTCCACCTCCACCTTGCTGGCGTCTGAGTGGGACTGGAGCTCTCTGCCCTTTACCAATCCAGCCACGGGCCCATCCATCTGGCCCATCAAGACTCACTCTCATTTCATCAGTCCATAAAACCTTAGAAAAATCAGTCTTGAGATATTTCTTGGCCCAGTCTTGACGTTTCAGCTTGTGTGTCTTGTTCAGTGGTGGTCGTCTTCAGCCTTTCTTACCTTGGCCATGTCTCTGAGTATTGCACACCTTGTGCTTTTGGGCACTCCAGTGATGTTGCAGCTCTGAAATATGGCCAAACTGGTGGCAAGTGGCATCGTGGCAGCTGCACGCTTGACTTTTCTCAGTTCATAGGCAGTTATTTTGCGCCTTGGTTTTTCCACACGCTTCTTGCGACCCTGTTGACTATTTTGAATGAAACGCTTGATTGTTCAATGATCACGCTTCAGAAGCTTTGCAATTTTAAGAGTGCTGCATCCCTCTGCAAGATATCTCACTATTTTTGACTTTTCTGAGCCTGTCAAGTCCTTCTTTTGACCCATTTTACCAAAGGAAAGGAAGTTGCCTAATAATTATACACACCTGATATAGGGTGTTGATGTCATTAGACCACACCCCTTCTCATTACAGAGATGCACATCACCTAATATGCTTAATTGGTAGTAGGCTTTCGAGCCTATACAGCTTGGAGTAAGACAACATGCATAAAGAGGATGATGTGGTCAAAATACTAATTTGCCTAATAATTCTGCACTCCCTGTATTGTCTTCCTGTTTACAGAGGAGGAGATACATTGAAAAGCACTTATAGCCTGAGCAGTCTTGTACCTGCTCCACACTTGCGAGTGTGTTAGACATTTTTGGTTTTGACATATTTTTTGTTATCCAAACAATATTATGCTATGTTTTTTTAATTTCTTTCTTTTTCATGTGGAACCCTGCATAAAGCAAGTATAATTTCTGTCATTGTTAAAGGTTAGAGGGCACTGACACCATAAGCACTGTCGGTAATATTTCTCCCTTTTAACATTGTGGGTTTTGCACATATCTGTTTTGTTGCACTTAAAGGACCACTCTAGGCACCCAGACCACTTCAGCTTAATGAAGTGGTCTGGGTGCCAGGTCCTTCTAGGGTTAACCCATTTTTTTATAACCATAGCAGTTTCAGAGAAACTGCTATGTTTATTAATGGGTTAAACCTTCCCCCTAATCCTCTAGTGGCTGTCTCATTGACAGCCACTAGAGGTGCTTGCGTGCTTCTCACTGTGATTTTCACAGTGAGAGCACGCAAGCGTCCATAGGAAAGCATTGTAAATGCTTTCCTATGCGACGGGCTGAATGCGCGCAGCTCTTGCCGCGCGTGCGCATTCAGCCTAGGAGGAGAAACGGAGGAGGAGAGAAGGAGAGCTCTCCGCCCAGCGCTGGAAAAAGGTAAGTTTTTCCCCCTTTCCCCCTTCCAGAGCCGGGCGGGAGGGGGTCCCTGAGGGTGGGGGCACCCTCAGGGCACTATAGTGACAGGAAAACGAGTGTGTTTTCCTGGCACTATAGTGGTCCTTTAAACACGAGTTAATGTGTTTGCACAATATTGCAAAAAGTTATTTTTTGCTGTTAAGCACTTTTTAACTACATACTGCACATAAATCAAAGTCATGATTTAAAGGTACACCCCATTCTCATTTAATGCAAAAGGTTAGAAAATGCACCTACACAGTAAGAATTGCATGCAGTTCTCTGGATGCTTGGTATGGTATCCCTTGCCAGTGATCATCTATTTTGAAACAACACCCCAAGCACCATAACCACCAAAGTGTGCTATAATGGTGACCAGAGTTCTCTGATGCCCACCCTTATTTTAAGTAGTGAAACAATTTTAGAACAGTTTGACTACTTAGCTTGCAGTTGCTGGAAGTTCTCTGTCTGAACTAAACCCAGCTGTGCTTATCTCATTAGCTGAGAGAGATCAGCTGACGTTCTTGGCAAATTAACTAAACTTGCATTGCAGGGCTAAGTTTTTGAGAGCATGTTTGGCTTGAAGTAGAGGAGGTAGGTAAGATGTTAAACTGTTCAAAAATAGTTTGACAAGGGGGGATTCCAGGACACTCCTGACATCATAACCCCTACAGCATGTGGCAGTGGTTATGGTGTTTGGAGTGTTGCTTTAACATAGAGTATTCAGGCTGTTCATGGATCATTCGCTGCATCCCACATGAGGCACTTTAATTTTCCCTTACAAACAATAAACAGAATCCAAAAGTGGCCAAATAGGCATTTGCAATAGAATTTGGCCTGCTGACAGACTTAACATTTAATAAGAAATGATTATAACGAGCCAGGGTAGGCAACACAAATACACATATCAGCTTATGTAACCCACTTCTTACATGCATGCACTGTGGTGTTTATTCACTAAACATTGAATTGCAGTAAACCAGCTAAAACAGCCAAGCTGTGACTATAATTGAGTTGGATTTGTTTCTCAAAATGTTGCAATAGTTATCGAATATTATCAACAATTGTACATAATGATTAAGTGGGCATTGTCAGGGGCCGACCGGGAGCAGATGGGACCAGAAAGGTATAATCTGATGTATGGCTTGTGGGGGCAGGGGACAGTGTATTCCTTTCACTGGATGCTGAAAAAGCTTTTGATCAGCTGCACTGGCCCTTCCTCCTTGCAGTATTGAAAAATGTGAACCCACCATTTTTGCTCATGGCAGTTAAAGCGTTATACAGTAACCCCGAAGCAAAGGTCACTAATAGCGGCTTTATATCATCCACCTTCGACATATCCAATGGCTCAAGACAGGGGTGCCCCTGTTCCCCTTACTGTATATACTTGCATTAGAACTGCTTACCACCTTCATCTGCAACCATTCACACATACACGGCATACAAGTACACCAAAATTGACACCCTTTGCGGATGATATCCTCATTACCCTACAAAACAGGAATCTCTGCTAGTTTTCCCTGAGGTACTAGAAGCATATAGCCGATGTTCATACTACAAACTGAATGTCACACAAACACAAGCTATGGGAATTAACATCCTTAAACAGACCTTTAAATATGACTGGAAAACTGATCATTTGTAAGACTGTGGCGAAACCAACCTCGCCACTGTACAATGGAGAAGCCTGGTTGCTCGCCTGCTGCCTTTGGACTATGGCCCCATGTTAAAAGACATCTTTTTCCCTGCAGAAAATACTTATTCGTGCTTTTCTGCCGGGTGTTCGGTAGATTTGTTTGAGTGTGTTGTACCCCAGATAGGAATCCCATGGAGCCCATTCGCATGAAACTGACTGTGTAAAGACTTTGGCTTCATGGCGTTTAAACTGTATTCATGTGGTCTGAGCGCCATTCGCTTAATAATGTGCGCTCAGACCTGAGCTATCTGGGGATATGTAGAACGTATATGTTTTATGTACTGAATGTAACTGTAGGTAATTTTATGTCTTTTACTGTTTGTTTTCTGCCATGTGGTTAATGGAGTTTTGCCTCTGTCTTTGGATATAATTGAATTACTTCTCAATTATCTCCAGAGCAGAGAGGAGGGATTGTGATGCATTGTGGGATGGCTGAAATGTGTAAGTCTGTGATTGGTCCTTTTACCCTTTGTGTCCCAGTCTCCCATTTGGTCCCCTAGGGGAGTGTCCACCAGGTGGGAGACCTGCATACAAGCCAGGCAGTTAGCCCCAGTAAAAGAGTTCCTGCTTAACCCTCAAAGTGAAGTGTCGTCTCATTATTGGGGGAGAATTTACTGTATGCTGTTAGAGACTGATTGCCAGGAGTGTAAGCCACTTGGGGGCTTTTCCTGTTCGTCTGCTAGCAGCTATTCGTGTGTCTCCAGTTCGGGAGTTGGTGAATTCGTGGGTTTGCAGTTCAGGAGATTGGAGATTGGTGCTTGCAGTAGCTGTCGGTGCAGCTGAAAAAGGGGAATATCGCCTAAACGGTGTTTAACCTCTTTTGGGCAAAACGGTCCGTTACAAAGACTGACTAACATTTTTGGGGATCAAGCTTACAGTTTCCATGACTAACCTGTTTAACCCCTTAAGGACACATGACATGTCTGACATGTCTGGATTCCCTTTTATTCCAGAAGTTTGGTCCTTAAGGGGTTAAAGTGAACTAGTTGGGACAACAAATTTATCTAATTTTCAGGTCTCATAGCCCCTGTTAAGATGGTGGTGCTCCCTAAATACCAGTATCTATTTAGGACTCTTCCAATTGAAATTCCAACCCATTAATTCAAAGAATCACAGCTAACCATTAACAAGTTTGCCTGGGCTGACAAGAGGCCACGGGTTTCAGAATCCATCCTACACTGCCATTATACCGAGGGGGCATGAACCTACTGAATGTAAAATGCTACTATCTAGCAGCTAGCATGAGTCCGTTGGTGACGGCACAGACACAAAAAATTCTTGAATCGACTGTAACGCAAGGGCACCAATTTTCCTCCTTGATGTGGCTTCCCAATCATCTCCAACCTAAAAAGATAACCATGCTTCCCACGACTACACTGACACTGCAGATATGGAACACGCACAGGCACACATACTGTTCACATTGATTATACTCCCCGGCAATGCCCATAGCTACACTCAAATCCTTAAAAAGAAATAGCATTTGTTATGTGTAACGGAGCTCCCTGTACCCTGGCTGGGTACAAGCTGGAATGTTTTAATCTGGCCAGGTGGCCTGCTTTTATACAATTTCAGACACAATGAAGCATGCCCCTGACACTCCCACACAAACAGGATCATCCCTCTCCTGGACAGGAGAGGGGATTAGTTACAAGTTACAAACTCCTCCTCTGTGCCTGAGAGATAATTGAGTCAGTAACTGAACTACCTCAATTATCTCCAGGCACAGAAAAACATGCAATATTACAAAACCCCCAAAATACCTTTTAAAACACATAAACCCCCCAAAAAAGTGACATCCCCTGATAGCCCTGATCTGGGTGACCAACATAACCAAAAATCACCCACATCAGTTCAGGGTTTCGGAATTTCCCTGGAAGTCATAATTTTGACCAACCGTGGACATGGTCCTATGCCCAAAACAGTTCCATGAAATCAGTGCTAACAGTCGGTCAAGTTTGGTAGTTTAAAAATGAACAAACTACCAAACAGAAGCCATAGTTCTACCATGGAGCTTGTTCACCTTGTTAGTGGGAACATTTTCACCGAACAGTGCCCTTCTAAGTCGTGTTGAACCGAACGCAGGCGATGATAGAAGTCCAGCTGTGTTCTGCAGTTTTTGTATCCACTTTTAGTTGCATGAACTTGACGACCAAACAAGGCTGCCTGCATTCATGCAAACAAGATGGCCGCCACCTCATGGCCGTTCATACAAATTGCGGCCACCCGGACGAACAATTAGAACACTGCGGTGGAGCTAGTAACAAGGTGTCAGTTGGACTTAACAAGCTCCCGGGTGGTCTCTGGTTTGTAGTTTGCAAGGTATTTTGTATGGCCCATAATCCTGGGGCAGGAGGCTGGCTAGCAGGCTCCTACAGGAGCTCATGGCAAACGACCAGACCACAGTGCATTTGTCACATTATGTATACCAATTACTGCACGAAAACAAAGTTATAGAGTTCACACACCTCCAGAATCAATATAGCCTCTCAAATATAGCATATTTTTCCTCTATGCAACTGTAAACCTGGTTACTAAAGCATTATATCCCTGCGTTTACAAATGTACATAGGCAACAGCTGATGAGTTTTGAGAAAATACCAAACAAGCACCAGCTATGAAAGTCATCTCATTACTTTATGCTAGTTTGAACACCAATCCGAACTTAGACCAACTACCATTTATTCAATCTTGGCAACGAGACTTAAAGGTCAAACTCTCTGAGAGGGCCTAGAACAAAATATGTGCCTCCCAAAAAAACTCACAATGTGTACTATTCACGCAGAACTAACTAGAAATATATTGTACAGATTGTACTTAGTACCAACACGTTTACACCGCATGAACCCTAGCATATCCAACAAGTGTTAGAGATGCCAAGAAGGGCTTGGCAACATGCTCCACATTTGGTGGGCATGCCAAAAACTAACAGCTTTTTGGAAAAGCATTGCAGACCTGATTTACAAAACAACAGGGAAACGCATTCCGCACACCCCAGAAACTTTCCTACTGCAAAATTACCCCCCACGACTTCTCACAGATGGACTTTACCTCATATACCATATAAATATTGCAGCGCTTACAGTCTTGAGCAGGAACTGGAGAAATAATGTAGCTCCTACACTGCAGGATTGTATTAAATTTGTGGAGACAAATAAATTATCTGAAATGACAGCCAGAAATGCTGCAAACCAGAAGCATAAAGTATGGAAGATCTCTTGGACCCACTAGGACCGGACGACATCCCCAATCAGCCTGCCAGCCCACTGAACTCGAACTCTCAACATCTGTGCCAAGCCAAGTAACATATCATGGACCTACATAGTCTCTGAATTATAACAGACGTAGACGACAGTGAAATGGAATGTCTTTTCTCTTTATCCCCTTTCTCCTCCCCCACCCTCCCTCTATATTCATATTATTTTCCATTCTTGCTTGTCTTACCAGGTTTAAAATGTTCACAATATTGTTATACCATCTGTAATTTCCATTATTGTGTTTAAGACTATGTGCCCTGTCAACAATGTTTCACCCATTTACATCACTCAGCTGTTATGGATGTAACAACCATTACATAATTTTATATGCAAATATTTGCAATATTGTAATACCTTTTGTAATGTCCATTATTGTATATAAGGATATATATCCTGACAGTGATGCTCTAACCATTTATATTACTCCAATCATACAGATGTAACAACTGTTAAATAATTTTATATGCTATTGTAAACTTGAAATGAAATTAAATAAATAAATGTTGCAATAGTGTTTTCAGTTCACAACAATACAACTGCTTAAAGTCACATTCATATGACTTTAAACACTTAAATTGTTAAAGTAACTAATGTTTTGGTTCTAAGTAGAGTTAAGCGGACACCTAGATGTTCGGGTTCGCCAAGTTCGGCCGAACTTCATCAAAAAGTTCGAGTTCGGGCCCAAACTTGACCCCCGAACCCCATTGAAGTCAATGGAGACCCAAACGTTTGGGCACTAAAATGCCTCTAAAAAAGTCCTGGAAAGGGCTAGAGGGCTGCAAAAGGAAGAAAAATGGGGGTAAGAGTATGACAAGTGCCCTGCAAACAAATGTGGATAGGGAAATAACTTAAAATAACATAAAATACATAAAAATTCAAAATAATAATCTTGAACTAGGAGGAGGAGGTGGATGTGGAGTAGGAGGTTGAGGTGGCGGTGTAGGTGGAAGCGGTGGAGGAGGTAGCCAACACTTTTTTTTAAATTGGGGTAGCCCCCAAAATATTGGGACATATAAAAAAAGAAAACAAAGAATAAGTGCACTTGAGTATAACAATGGCTGGGTGAGGCCGGTGTAAATGTCAATTCTGCACAAGGTACAGACAAGTCTGGTGGGATCCATGCCTGGTTCATTTTAATAAATATGAGCTTGTCCACGTTGGTGGATAGGCGGCTGCGCTTGTCTGTGATAACGCCCCCCTGCCGTGCTAAACACACATTCAGGCAATACACTGGCTGCAGGGCAGGCCAGCACCTCCAAGGAATAAAGGGCAAGCTCAGGCCATGTGCCCAATTTGGAGACCCAGAAGTTGAATGGGGCAGACCTATCAGTCAGTACTTGTAGGCATGTGCACATATACTGTTCCACCATGTTGCTGAAATGCTGCCTCCTGCTAAGACGTTCCATATAAGCTGGTGGTGCTGGTTGTTGTGGTGTGCTGACAAAGCTTTTCCACATTTCGGCCATTCTCCCTGCCTTGTGAGGTGCTGGCGGTGCCCCAGCTGTGTTGGAGACCTCTTCTTCCTCCTCTGCCTTTGTCTTGTGCTTCCACTGAGCCATCGGTGTCAGTTGGGAATGCCCTCAGTGTGCGCTTGTAGTCGCGCATCTTCCGATTACGCTCCAGTGAGGGAATTAAGTACAGCACGTTGTCCTTGTAACGGGGATCCAGCAGGGTGGCCACCCAGTAACAGCACAAGTTAGAATGTGGCAACTCGGCAGTTGTTGCGCAGGCACTTTGGTGACTTTAGATAACCTTGGGCCGATCGCACGTCCCTGTGATGGCGACGATGCATTCAGATGTCTGCCCTATCAACTTTTGATGTTACTTTCTGTGCCTACCATGGTAACCACGGGTAACAGGGAATCAGGGTTCGATTCCGGAGATGGAGCCTGAGAAACGGCTACCACATCCAAGGAAGGCAGCAGGCACGCAAATTACCCACTCCCAACGCAGGGAGGTAGTGACGATAAATAACAATACAGGACTCTTTCGAGGCCCTGTAATTGGAATGAGTACACTTTAAATCCTTTAACAAGGATCTGGTGCAGAGCGACTGACCCGTGCGTGCTGCAGCTGAAACTCCACTATCACCTGCTGCTGCTCGCACAGTCTCTCCAGCATGTGCAAGGTGGAGTTCCACCTTGTGGGCACGTCGCATATGAGGATGTGAGCGGGAAGGCCGAAGTTACGCTGCAGCGCAGACAGCCGAGCAGCAGCAGGGTGAGAACGCCGAAAGCGCGCACAGCCGCTACAGTGAAACTGCAAATGGCTCATTAAATCAGTTATGGTTCCTTTGATCGTAAATGGGTAACTGTGGTAATTCTAGAGCTAATACATGCCGATGAGCGCTAGGGGACGGCCGCTACACTTTTGCACCCTGCTCCCACTTATGCTGTGCTGGTGCCTCTGTGCGACCACCGCCTCTTCCTCCAAACTGCACACGTCACTCGCATGACCTTCATTCCATGTGGAGTCTGGGACCTCATCATCCTCCACATCATCTTCCACGCACTCCTCAACCCTGCCCTCCTTGCCAGTCTGCACACTGCAGAAAACCACAGCAGTTGGCACCTGTATTTTTCCAGCATGTAAAGTCTGCAAAGGACATATGGAAATTGTTTTAGAATTGTATCCAGGCAACAGTTTTCCCTATAAACTGACCTCTCAGTTTGACTTGTGAGGGTATTGCCCCAGAATTATAATATTGTTTAAGTACCTATTAGCTATTGATAGCAGGTTTAAATATAGCAGCTTGTCATCTGGTAGTTTCTAGTGTAGAAAATATCAATCTGTTTTCTATCACTTAGATTTGTTTAACAAGTGTTGTAGGTGTGAAACAATATTACAAGTAACCGATCTAGTAAATTTGAATCAAAGTTCCATTTCACACAAAAAATTCTCGCCCATCTTCTGTGGGTTATTTTATTTTTAAGATGTAGACTTGTTGTATCACACTAGCCATGCACAGCTAGATTGTCTGGCACGTTGTTTTGGTGTTTGGTTTTTAACTTTGTAGTTGTGTCTTTACACAATATAGAAATGTATATTAATGCTTCTGTATATGAAGCGATCACAATAACACTTATTTTTCACTTTTAAAAAAAAAGTCTTTAGACTTTCTTTAGAAGCGGTAACTAGCCAGTGTTGCACACATACACCAGATATGAGGTGCACACCCCAAATGTACTAATTAGCACCAATTTTTTTTTAGAATTTTTAAAACTACGCTGTAACCACAGTATTTGACGGTTCTATTTGACTCTCAGATATGAAGTACAGGCCCCAAATGTACTGTTTAGCACCTAAAAAATTTGAATTTTTAAAACTGTGAATTAACCACAGTATTTGACTGTTCTATTTGACTCTCAGATATGAAGTGCAGGCCCCAAATGTACTAGTTAGCACCAAAAAAAATTTGCATTTTTAAAACTGCTCTTTAACCAGAGTATTTGACGGTTCTATTTGACTCTCAGATATGAAGTGCACCTAAGGCCGCAAATGTACTATTTAGCACCAAAAAAATTAGAATTTTTAAAACTGCTATGTCACAGCAGTATTTGACTCTCAGTTACGAAGTGCACACCCCAAATGTACTATTTAGCACCCAAAAAAATTTTCATTTTTAAAACTGCGCTGTAACCACAGTATTTGACGGTTCTATTTGACTCTCAGATATGAAGTGCACTGCAGTCCGCAAATGTACTATTAAGCACCAAAAGGTTTGATTTTTTTTTTAAAACCAACAATGTAACAGTAGTAGTACTTACTATTTATCATTTTATTTAGGGGGAAACAGGGCTTTCATATAACAACAAACATTTAGCTATGAAACAATTTTATATGAATAAAATATAAAAAAGGGAGAAAATAAGACATGTTTAAATAGTTTTAGTTCTACATGACATTTTAACTGTGAATGTCATAATACTGTTTGCTTTTACTGCAATAAAATACACATATTTGTATTCAGCGATGTCTCACATGTAAAACAGTACCCCGTATGTACAGGTTTTATGGTGTTTTAGGAAGTTACAGGGTCAAATATAGCATGTTATATTTTTCCATGTTTTTCACATTGAAATTCACCAGATTGGTTACGTTGCCTTTGAGACCTTATGGTAGCCCAGGAATGAGAATTACCCCCATGATGGCATACTATTTTCAATAGTGGATGTAACGGCACCCCCAGGCATAAAATGGGTTAAAAGCCATTTAGGAGATATTCCCTTCCAGATTCACAGGCAGCTACTGCAGAACACCAATCTCCCGAACTCGAAACACACGAATGCTTCAAACTCTTGAACCGGAACCATACGAATGGTTCAAGCTCCCGAATTGGAACCATACGAATACTGCAAACAGGCAAACAGGAAAAAACATACGAACAGTTTACACTCCTGGTAATCGGTCTGAAGCAGCATACAGTAAATCCTACCAAGAACGAGACAAGGTTCCGTGTTGAGGGTCAAGCAGTGGTCTGATTTAATGGGGCTACCTGCCCAGTATTTATGTAGGTCTTCCACCTGGTGGACACTCCCCTAGGGGACCAGATGGAAGATTGGGACACAAATGGTAAAATGACCAATCACAGGCATACAGGGTTATAACACTCCCACTGTACATTACATTCCATCCCCTCTATCCTGGAGATAATTGGGAAGTAATCCAATTATCTCCAAGGACAGAGGCAAAACTCCATTAACCACATGGTAGTAAAAAGATATAAAAATATATAACTGTGCAGCCATTGCATATTGTAACGGATCGCCTGGCACCCCGACTGGGTACCTCCGTTGAAGGATGCTCCTAGCGCTTCCTGAGGACTCCAAGCACTCTGGCAGACACCACAATCACCAAACCGGAGAAACAAATAAATTATCCCAAGCATATGAATGCTGTAGACAGTTGAATAGGAACCATACGAATAGGTTTACTCTCCTAGCAGTCAAACTGGAACAGCATACAATGAATCCTTCCCCCAATAATGAGACGACACTTCACTTTGAGGGTTAAAATAGGAACTCCCTGTACTGTCACATACAGTCTCTTTTATTCCCAATCCACAAACATAGTACAAAACAACCAATCAATCCGTACAATACACCCAGACACTCCCACACAAAATCCTCCCCTCTGCATGTGATATGATTACTGAACACAATGGGTAATCTCATTATCACCGGCAGAGGAATACAGTTTTTACACAATATTTATAACTTCTAAAATATACATGTCACAAACATAAAACATACATTTTCATAATCAATCCATTCAGGGGAACAACATATTAAAAAATGGCACGAATCAGACCAGGGGTTCAAAAGTTAAGGGAAAGTCCTTTGTGACTAAATGAAGCATGGCTTTCCGGCCCAAACCAGTTTCAGAGTCTTCTATCCTGGAGATAAGTAATTCAATTATCTCCCAGGATAGACACAAGACTCCATTAAGCACATGGTTGCAAAAAGACACAAAACACTTTAAAATACATAAAGTCACATTTACACATAACACACAGACATTTCACATATCCCCAGATAGCTGGGATCTGAGTGCACATTATTAGATGAATGGCACTCAGATCACACAAATAAGCCTTTCTGCAGGGGAAATAAACGGTTTAACCTGCAGGGCCATAGTCCATAGGGAGCAGGCGAGCAACCAGGCTTCTCCAGTTCACAGTGGCGAGGTTGGTTTCGCCACACATATAACAGGTACATTCAACCTATCCCCAGCTTAGATCTGAGCGCACGTTGTTACCGAATGGTGCTCAGATCACATACATACAGTTCAATCGCCATGGAGCCAAAGTCTTTCACATAGTCTTTCGGTATATGAATAGGCTCCATGGCATAGCTATCAGGGGTAACACTGTTCACACATTAAAATACTGAATGGACTGGCGTTCGGCTAAACGACTGAAGGCAGGAGAAGGGAGGTCGGCGGCTCAGCGGTGTTCGTGCATTTAACGGTCCATTTTGAGTTTCACTGGTTTGGAGCTGAACACCGCTGGCCGTTCAGGAGTTTAAGAAGGCCGCTGCCACGTGTTTGGCTATGCGAACAGCGGCCACCCAGCGTTCATCCATTAAGCTGTGGTTAACTGCAGCTTCTGGGAGGTAAATCACTGGCACACCAGGTGGTCCGTTCATTCGTGAGTTGGTTCGGTAGATTAAATCTACTGAACACTCAGGCAGAAAGGCACGAACAAGCCTTTCTGCAGGAGAAAATACAAGCTTTTAACATGGGGCCATAGTCCAGAGGCAACAGGCGAGCAACCAGAACTTCTCCAGAACATAGTGGCGAGGTTGGTTCCGACCACAGTAGACAACCCAATAGTAGACAACCCAAGGTTGTTAATATTTTTGTGTGGAAAATGCAAAAAAATTATTTGCCAATTTTGGCTAGTGTTTGTAAGCGGATAAGTAAATAGGAAGACGGGGATGTGCTATGCCACCTGCTGGCGTTTAGAGCCGGGTCCCCAAGGACGGCATAGCAGGCCCGCCATGCTTAAGGGGTTAAAGTTCACTATTTGTCTGCACTAGACCGGAAATAATGATAAAATCCCTCTTAACACCACCCACACTTAACCATAATAATATAAATATTACTACCACCAAGAATATTTATAAATTGGGTGCCTTGGTCCCCCAGTTAACTTAATAATAAAAACACACCAAATACAACTTAGCACGATATTTAAGCAATTGCAAAATACTAATTAGTCTCTTCAGGTAACGTGATTCTTAACCAGACAAAGGCAGAACTTTGAAAGTTATTTATTATGAGCAAAAAATAGTCACAGTACATACAAAAATATAGATGGCAGTCAAATTAGTTGCACCAACAACAGATAAAAACAAAAGGGATAAAATAACAGAAGTCCTAATCACTTACTCCTTAGGTTTTCAAAGTAAAGCTTCTGCCTAGGTGCTCTCTGGTAAGGAAGATGATGACTCACTCAAAATTAG